CAACCTTTTTTTTTTTTTTTTTATTTTTCCTTTTTTTTTTAGCTTTCATCGTGGAAAATAAAATAAAAATTAACTCAATCTACTTGGGATACATAATTATTTGCTTATGTTAAATAGGCGTTTTGTGGCTTGATTCTCTAGGCTGAATGTTGTCATATTGTTTACTAGAATTATAGCAATATAAGTATATTATTAGCTGTGGTAGTCTAGACGACCATGTATTGTCACTATTTTAAGGTTTCGACAGACTGCAACCATCGTAAGACATTCTGACACTTAAATGGATACAACACCAGGCATGTCCGACCTAATGGACTCATTTTACATGCATTAATAAAATTTAAACACAAATAAGTCTTTAGGTCGTGGGAAAAGTTGATAGAAGTCTACTCCTGATAATATCGGAGTACCTCTGGTGATATCAGCATTTCGGGTACTATCGGAGCACCACGGGTGATATCCTTACTTACATACACCTAATGTAAGAGGCCCTTCAAAACTTACCATACTCTACAAATTGCATGTTTTCATAACCTGATTTTCTATGGCAGATTTTCGTTGTTTGATTTATTGGTACGTTGGCTGAGAAAAATACTTGGTATCCAATGTGTGCCACAGGAAATAAGTACACGACTTGGCAACCCCAAACACTTCGGGCACAAAGCTGGTACACATATAACCTATGACCCTAACGACTTCGGGCACAAAGCTGGTACACATGTAACATATGACCCTAACGACTTCGGGCACAAAGCTGGTACACATGTAACCTTTGACCCTAACTGTCCTGTTTTATTAGTTTTTTTTATAGTCCTAAGTGATAGTCCTTCAATAACTTATTGGGCCCTAAACCCAGTAACATATGACCCTAACTTGCTACGGTTAGAACATACTGCTACCAATAACCTTTCTCAGTTGGTCTATCATACGTGATCTCGGACAGTCGGATAGCTGTGATTAATTTGTTTGGATTGACATTCCAATATATTTACAAGATTTAGTTTACTTCCATATAGAACGGTACATGAAAATACTTTGCATGAAATGGTATCGTTTTACGTCCAGCTGAATGGCGCATTATACTATACGAGTTCCATTACTTTACCTTGTCTAACCGTGCAGTGATTGGGGAATGACACGTGTTTGCTAGATATGAATGTGTTTCGTTAACTGGTATGGTATGATGGTGAAAAACCTTGTGTATTCACAAACGACTGGACCTGTGTTTGCAGTACAGTTATTGACACAATACACGGTATTGTACATATAACAGCATATTTTTACCTATTTAGATACGTGGATTCTAGATCCTTCCATTAGATACGTTCTTTTATTACACGTGTTTAAGGCCTCGAGCTGTTTCCGTTGTTTCCATGGTGACATCATACTTCATTGCGTCAAATGAAGTGATACCAACGATGATTAACTAAGAATAAAGCCGATTTAGATTTCGCATAATTCTCATAAAACGCGAATATTTGCAAATATCTGAATTCTATGATGACCGACGCTAGTCACGACTTTTTAACATCCGACTTCGCCAGTCTAGGTAAAATGACAATTCCAAAACACTTTTGATAAATCTCGAATTGAAACTCCTTTGTACATAGTGGGAAACCATTTCATGATTTCACGTGTACACAGAGCCATTGCAACCGATATTTAAAAATAACACAATTTAAAGCCGTTTACGGAGCACACTAAATAAAGGTCATCGAAACAAGCATTTCCATTGTAATTTTACAGTTGTACACCTATACATACGTTAACAAAAAGGCCGTTCTGAGTGAAATATGTGGTTATCTACTAGCAATACACTTTATTTTAGTCATTACCCTTAATCTTGGCGTTAAAAATGCAAAATGTTCCGTTCGCCTTGTTTTTAATCCATTGAGAAACGTCTCGGAACCTTTCCGTCTTTTTTCCTAATTTAAGTTGATTTGTAATTAATGATAAACGATTATCTTATGACCTTTCTATATACTATATATAGCAGTTCCGTTAGAGATCGTTATGAAGTTCGCATAACGTGCTTTGGGGGTCAAATGCACACGTCATATTCATGTACCTCCTTTATTGAAAACATCTTAAATGGTAAAAGAAATCAAAAAGAAAAAAATACGTCACGACAGGTAGCTATCTATTCACCAACGGTAGGTACATGTAGCTCGGCGTTACCACAGGGGCGTGAGGACATTCTTACCCCGAGTTGAGTCACAGGGTAATTTGATATTAGATAACAAAACATCCATTGCACCACTGGATTGGGGATAGTTGTCCACTATGTGATAGCCCAATGGCAATGAATACCACTACGTTTCTGAAGGATTTTATGTTGTAATGAAAGGTTTAAATATACTTCAAGCTACTGTCTGGGGTTACCTCATACTGTATAATATTCCGAATTCTGTACAAGTAAACAGAAATTATTGAAAAACCTATGTGATTTTCTTACGTCATGCAATCATTTCAGTCTCCATGCTAAATTAGGTCGGCGCTACTGAAGGGTCATTATGTACTGTGTTGCTCATGTGTCATGTATATTTATCCGAATCTCGAATAAAGTTCTGTTCAACTCGTGTCGCCCGTTGTTTCGTGTCCGGTATTCTTTCTGTAAGGCATCCCATTACGAGTAATAACTTACATGATGTACTAGATACACCATGAAATTTACAAATTGTTGGAACTTATTCGTTGTATGATGCAAAATGATATTTACTTGTCCTAAATTTGTTATTTACTTTCTTTTATCCCAAAATTTCGGATTATGGCCAATACGTGTGTCTGTTCAAGCGTTTGAGCTGTGGTCAATTTGTTTGGTAATTCCTATTTTGATATGTAACCATCCGTTACGAGAACCGCTCCAAGATATAAGATACGCACTTTTAGAATATTACGCTGAAGTCGCTTTAGGACACGGCTTAATTGTTAAACCAGATTTCCACAGGTGTTCTTGTTTCATCAAACTTAAGTCGGTCAAGAGAAAATATGTTTTTGGCCGGATTAATTTTATAATATAAACGGGGAATTTCTAGAACTATGTATGTACTGTGAATAAAACACACGGAGTGACATCATCTTGTTCGGTTGATTGTTGAAGAAAACCCTAAATCCCGAATATGCTGCAAAACAGTGCTTGATTAATGATGCATTAAAAAGTATGGTTTCAAATTATGGAAATAGGAGTATAACATTCTCCAGGGGTTAGTCATTTTCACTCTATCGAGGAAGATGATGCACAAACACGTCCGTGATATTCTCTACAGTGTTAATTAAACACGGAATATATACTATAGCCAAAGATGTTTTACAATATCAAATCATTTTTAATAGAATAATTTCCAGTTTTTTTTTCAACCGTCGTCCTTGGTTCTCGGTATAGGACGCCAACTTTTGATAGATCACCCTGTATGTTATTCCTATATATAACATCCATTTGTTTAATTTCAAAGTGATCAAAGGCGCACCATTGATGTGAAATATAAAAAAAAAACTTAAATAGAGGCCATGCTAATTTTGGCGATAGATTTTATTTCTTAGTTTGACGTGACAAGCCAAACTTTGAAATGAAATCAATGGTTTTGGTATCGGACATTATTTCATACTCGTTTCCTAACTGCCTTCATTGACGTAATTTGAAAATAGAGCATCCTAAATGTCCGTAACATTAATGCCGCAGTCGGTTTCGAGTAATACTGTATGCGATACATTTTCCGGTAAAGATTGACGCGGGAAATTCGTTGGGTCTGTGGCGGTAGTACAATTATGTAGCTTATTTTCTTAAGATTGAACAAGGTGATTGTTTGAAATAATGTATTAAAGATAAGACAGGCTTACTAGAAAGAGGCGAAATGATTCAGTAGGAGGGTGCTGATGTGTGATGTTTAGACCAAAAACTGAATTTGTTATACATTTTGAAATAAGGCTAAATGAACATTGGAAATATAATCTTTACAGTAACTTATGTTAAGCCATTGTACAGAGAAAGGATTTCCATGATGCTATGTATTGATATGGACAGAGGCAACAAGCTGCGTCCATTATGAATGAAAAGCAGATATTTGATTAGAGTGGAACTATTCGACTATACTGCCTAAGATTGACGACTAGGATCAATGAATTACAGCTGGTTTTACACCTTTTTATTGACCATTTAAATATTTCCAAAATCTCTACCAAAGGCAGTTGTATTTCCAGAACGGTGCTGCAATGCATTATGGGAACAAATCATAAATGTCTCTTCAAACACCATTCAAATGAGTGAAGATATCACTCAGTAAGAATATCATTTTCACTTAACACCTTCTAATTTACCATGAAGAACATTATAGAATTTGTAAGAAATTGTCCATTTTACATTTCTTGAAGTACTAGATAGTACTAGATAGGTTATCTTCAAATTTCTTATGTTGGTTCCCTCTATGCAATGTCTAACAATATGGATGACGTGCAGACATCTTGGATTTTAACTGTTAAAGTTATTCTCTTTATCTTGAGTGGATGGACCAAATTTTTATACTTGGTCCCTTATTGTGTATTGTCCCCGATATAGCTGATTGAGAAAAAAAGGCACGTGTTGTCATATTGGATGTTGAGTAAAAAGTAAAAATTCATTGTTTTTGTTGAAAGTATATTTACTTCCCTTGTTCACCGACTTTATATCATTGATTCATCTGTCAATATAATGTATATGATTATAGAGAAAATTAATAAGAGGAGAAAAATGCTAAGAACTTGAGATAAACCGTTGGACTGTAAAGCTGAACGAGTCCCGAGTCCTGTACTCAGAGTTTGATGGCACTCGAAACACTTTCTGGAAATACTGAAATTTTACATTGTGGAAATCATTATATTCAGCAGAAAAGTTGAAAAGGACTTATGAAAATAAATTGTAGATTAATCACTGGTGGTCAGCCTGATGTCACTGGGATCCGTTTCTCTCCTCCCAGGACAACATTGCTTTTTATTTCCACAAAAGGTTGATTTAGGTAACTTATTCTATGGCAGATGAAGAAATAAAGGACTTCAAGAGAATAATAGAACTATTGAGAAAGGAGAAGCTGCAGAAACTAGCCAATGTCCATATCGATGAACAAATAAAGACACAAAGAAATGCTGAGGAAGAGGAAGAACCAGAACTTGAAGAATCGGTCGAGGTACAACTAGACAGTCTAATTATTGCTATCCATTTAAATGAGTAAATTATGTTAGTATTATTGTTACATATCTGCTTTATACTTTGAGCATTTTGAAATTGTTCCTTTTTCCTTAACAAAATTATTTGAAAAAGAAATTACACAGTATGTTTTCAAATTGTAATTTATTTTTCCTGTGAAATTAGGATAGAAAAAAACCCTAAGAACTCCGAAGTACAGTTGTCAAAGTGTTATACAGTCATCTTCCTTTCAGGTATGGTTTAGGTGATTGTTTTGTCAATTTACAGGAAGAAGAAGTCGAGCATGCATTGAGTTTGTTTGAAAACTCAGAAACTCGAGGATTGGCCAACAATAATCTCCAGAAGAAGGAGGATGGGGAACAGGTAGGATATTAGAATTTTATGTAGTGTGCTTACGATGGACTTACTAGTACATGAAATGTTCTACCAGTCTGTAATAGGATGGAGTTAGAATAATAAAACATTGAGTCATTGTCTAAGTTTGAATTCGTGATTTTTCAGTCTGAAATTGGACTAGTAGTATAAGGCAGCTTGAAATCTTTCGCATACATAGCAATTACTGATTTTTTGTGCTAAAAGTATTGAGCTAAAAAATAATAAGTTTATATGTTGTACACCACTGTAAATATGCAAATTGTTCTTATGTTCCAAAAGGAGATGCTGTACAAAAATTGTATATACATGATGATTAGTTACAGGATAATGTAATGAACAAGTTGAACACATTTTTAAAATCTGTATAAAGAGTAAAACACTGCTGTAGGTCTGGATGGGCACGATTTAGAATTGAGAATCAATTTTAAGAATCCAAAATGTAGAGCGAAAAATAGAAGTTTTATCGTGCAATCTTTGATGTTGCAGTAGTATTTTTTTGTGATTTAGGTTAACAGATAAGTTTGAAAAGATAAATGGAAAACAATTTGTAACTGATAATGAAAATACCGATTCGGTTGTATTCATCTGTTGTCTTTGATTTTGGGTTCTGATACATGCATCTTCACCAGTATTACTGGTATAAGTGTTTTCAGTAGTATTGCTCTTGGGGATCCCTTTCAACTGCAATACAAATATCGTGATCTAATTTTAAAGAATTTTTTTACCCAGAGGTACAATATATACAAAGGAAATATTGTAGTATCTGGTTATCGCAACACTGGTGATTAATTCTTTGTACTGACATACTTCGGGGGTTTGGCAGATGGAATGAGATAAGAACTTTTGAATTGGAGAAAAAGATTTTTTTGTTTGTTTTAATGAAAATAATATGCAAAATAACACAAGATCTGGAGAAAACTTGAAAAGACAACAAGAACACATGATGGGGAAATTCCTGGTTAGAATGGAAATTTTTATGTCGAAGAGCCATACATTAAGGATAATTTTCAAACAAAAGTTGGTGTAATAATTCTTTAGCAATGTGCTAAATCAATATTCTCCGTGGATTATTATTAACTTTTAATTCAATATTAATGATTCACCTGACTTATGATTATCCTCAGGAAAGTGAAGAGGAGGAAGTAGAAAATGAAGAACTGGAAGAAAGATCTATTGACATGACTGAAGGTGGCCATGGTGCGGATATTGATGGTGTAAGATTTTTGTTACTTTACATTGAGAAATATGCGTTGATGTATTTATAATTGATATTTATTTCAAAATTGAAATCGCTAATAATCATTGCTATCATTATGTGGTTACTATGTCAAGGGTCTCGATCTGCCAGATTTGGGGCCGACAAAATAGTATCTTTTTTCCCCAATTTAGACCCCAAGTTTTCCCAATTCTAAGGAAAACGCCGCTCTTTTTCCCAATTCTAATGGCCCCGGGCCCCAGTCCCAAAATGGGGTGTGAGAGCCCTGTATGTCAACACAGAGCATAGTTTTTTTCAGTTAATTTGTGTGTAACACTATGATGCTTGGTTTAAATATATGTCCTTCAATATCAGCCCTTACCTGGACTAGTCTTTGAATTCGGTGTCATTGTCATTAAAGTCTACGTATGATGCCAGAAAAAGTCCTTCAATCAAGTTCACTAAATCTGCAGAGTGTTACAACAGCAATCCTTCTAGGCTATACATAGTTTCTCTTTATATACACCTGTCAAAAATTGATGTGACACGATGTATCATGATATGCGTTGTCTGTCCAGCCTAAGATTTTGTTTGTTCAGAGATCTCTCACATTTTTCAAGTGATGATATGCAATTGTTTTCTCCTAATCAATGGTTTAATTTAGCTGTATTTGGAAGAGTTACTCCCCTTTGTTTTCTTAATGTTTATCTTGTTCAGAGGTCTTCTGTTTTGACAGATTTCTTTCAAGCTAGGT